CAAACCACATTTGTTTTTTATTGTCATCTTTTAGAGCAATGCAATGCAGCAGGTCTTGTGAGCAGAATAGTTGGGTTAACATGTTTAGAGCTACCTTCCTTCAGTTTTATTACATTATGCAATGCATCCGTTTTTTCAGCTTTTTCACAATTTATTTCATCACTTCGAATGGTGGATACAAGACAAGTAAATAGAGGATGCAAGTTTGAGTCTTGATATATAAACAGATTTCGTTTCTTTAACCACTTTACACATTTTTTGCAGTCTAAAAAATCCCTGCACATCTTGCTAACCTTATTTCTTTTTGTTATTTATTTTTTTCTATTCACATGCTGTTAAAGTTGTAATGGCTTTGTGTTTAGCCACACAAGATTTTAAACTAAGTGCTCAAAGAATTCTGGCACTTTCTTTTAGTCCACATCCTGAAACCACCTTTACTTTTTACAGAATGTATTGTTTGTTTTATTGCCAAATCAGACTAAAGCCCAATAATGCCTGGTTTTTCCTGCTGCATGTTATCTATTATCAAAGTAGTTACGAAACCAAAAACTTTTGAGACACTAGTGTTCTATTTCTTGAACATAAATTCTGGCACTCTTGGTATAATTTATACAAGAGTGCCAGAATTTATGGCACTCTAGTGTAAACAACAAAGCTGATGCTAATTAATACATTTAGCATCAGCTTCGTTGTACGTATGTGAAGTGACTAATTTGATGTTTTCTCTGCAATAAGTTTTTTATAAATAAAAATAACAAGCCAAAATTTAATTTACAGGCAAGTGTATTGAAAGATGCCATTTCTCTGTAAGGTTTAAATTTAAACTTAAATTAAAATTAAAAGAAAGCCAAGGTTACTAGATCCTAGGTAATATCTTATCACCAGGATTCGTAGCTAATTGGTATTAAGTTAATCAACAATTTCTTTCCCGTAAAATGTTTTGAATGGTACACATTTTGGATGGTCACATTTTGAATGGTAGTCATTGTATTACATTAATGGTGTCATTTGCTTTAATTACAAATTTTTTGAATCTAATGATTTCATCAAATGTGATAGAGAACCCAAATAATGAAAGATAATCAACTAGCCACTTAGAACTAAAAGATTTGTCTAATTCAATACCAATTCCAAAAGGAATTAGAGATATTATTGATCTTGAAGCTTGCACAATACATTGTAGAATACTTATTCATTTTAGTTTGGATGGAATTCGCAATTAAAGAAACTCATTAAGGTACTTGGAACCCATGTATTTGGATTATCTTTTCAGTTGCTTACATCATCTGCACTAGGGCATTTATCTTTATTTAGAGGCATTTCCCTTATATATGATTTAATAACCTTTGGTGCTGCTCTAAATATATCATCAACTTTTTTTATTGTCTTATTTTTTATTTTATTTGGCCGAGGCCATATGTTAAAGACAAATCTGCTTGAATTTTAACTCTGTGGTTACCTTAATTACTTTTTGATTACTTTTTAAGTCAATTTATTGAAAATATTTTCATAATTTCCATTAGGTTAGTACATCTTCCTGTTAAGCTGCTTCAATGTGCACAACTAAACTACAAACTTTTTTTAATGATTCTGACATGGATAGATCACGAAGAGATTTTCCTTTTATACTTTCAAATACATGCAGCCTAAACTTTTCCATACATGTGTTATGGTTGACAGACTCAACTGAAAACAATATTTTTTACAGTCAAGAGTTTTTTTTTGTGTGTGCAGAATTCTATGATCTATAAACATCCTTCTGTAGCTACAAATGTCCATCTGTAGTTATAACCGTCCATCTGTAATTACAAGCGCCCTTCTGTAGCTATAATAGAACTCTAAATATTCTACTTACCAGGTTTTGATAACATTGAAGTACGAAGTTAATTTTTTCATTTTCTTTTTTTTTGCTGAACTTTATTAGTGCTTTTAATTCATTCAACTTGACAATGGCATGTGAGCCATTACTGAGTGTTTCATCAATAATAAACGGCTCATTATATACAAAACACTTTTCTTTGATGGCAACTTGAGCCATCTGAAAATAAATAAATATATTTGAATCTACAACATGTAGAATACCAAATCTATGAATTTGGAGCACTCATTAACAATAGGAATTTATAACCATGTAAACTATAAATCATATTTAAATCTATATAATATTGCTGAACTTAATAGTAGAAGTGTCCTTTCGAGCATGTTTGAAATATAACTCTTGGCAGCCATTGCAACCGAGGTAATGGTGAAAAGAATTGCAGCACTTTGCTTTAAAAGAAAACACGAACAAAAGTGTATGCAAATATCATACATATGTAAACTTCAAATTATGTTATGTTAAAATATACTTAAACGTATCAAATTTTACAGTTTGACTTTCACTTGAAAATTGCAAAGCGTCAACCTCTCCTTAATTTTAATCTATAGCACTTGTTTCCAATGAAAAAAATCATATAGTTTTAAAATTTTAAAAGTCAACGTGCCAGTGTGGCTGAGTGGATAGCACGCAGAGCTTCTGAACACAAAAGCCATGGTTTGAGTCCTACCACTGGCAACTTTTCTTATTTTAATTTTTTGTTTTTTAAATACAAATACGTGTTTTTAAAAAAAGTTTTATAGAAATTATATACAAACTTATTTACATTTTAACAAACAAGAAGATTTTTAAAAAAGCTAAAGATTTCAAAAATATAAAAAAATGGGGGGGGGGGGGGAGGGAAGGGGAGGAGGAGGAGGAGGGGGGGATTTGTTGCTTATGTGTCATGATTGAGATACTTCAGGGTTGCCACTATAAATTTTAAAGTTTTTCCCTAAGTAAAGAACGTTTTTCCCCGAGTTGAACTCTTAAGTTCAGCAATACTATATAGATTTAAATATGATTATAGTTTACATGGTCATTGTAAATTTCCTGAGTTTTCCCTGACTTTTCTATATTCTTTCCTGCTCATCAACAAGATTATTATTTTCCTTAACTAAACAAAATCTTTATATTTGACAAATTAAAACTTTTACAAAAACACCCACATCTTGCAAACTTATTATTATATGTATTAGCAAATTATTTTTGAAAAACAAAATTATTGTACAAAATTTCAAATAAAAAAATATTTTCCCTGAGTTTTCCATGAATTTTATGAAAATTTTAAAAAATCCCTGAGTTGTCCAGGTTTTCCCTGGGATTCATGGTATTTCCAGGTATTCCAGGTTTTACAGGTATTCCAGGTTGAGTTGCAACCCTGTACTTATGTTATTTTAGTTTTACATTTCAAGTTTTTTAACAACTAAGTTGAGTTCATTTAGCTTTGAATTTCAATAAAATATATAGTTTTGTTTTAAAATTTTTACCCACTGAAAAATAAGCTGTAATATATAATCACAATAATCACTATATTGTTACTATATAATCACATATAGTGATTATATAGTAACTTTTGAGCAATTTTTTGACACTTGTTTCATATTTTTTTTACTTTAAAAAAAATTATTGTTGATTCAAACATATCAATAAGAATAACTAAACTTTAAACATTTGCTTTTTATAGCAAACAATATTATAACATTATATTAATTACATAACGTAGCTGATTATAACATAACAACTGTTACTATGCCAATAGATATATTGTAGTTTTACAGCTAACAACTATATTACAACATTTTCATTGTAACATATTGTGGCTTCTGACAACTATATTACAACATTTTTATTGTAATGTATTGCAGCTTTTGACAACTATATTACAACTTTTGTAACATATTGTAGCTTCTGACAATTATATAATCAGTATAGATATTTCAGAAAAACCATAAGTAAAAAATTAAAAAGGGTTTAATAAGTATAAACAGATATCTGGAATGTTAGATTAATTATGCTTCTCGCATCTTGTTGGTATCAATTATTATTTATAATTAAGTAAGGAAATGTCAATAAAAATTACGATAATACAAAAAAAAACACTATGAAACAACAGGAAGTTTAGAAATATAGTAGCAGGAAGTTTGGAAATATAGTAGCAAAGTTTATATAATAAAATTTACAATTTTGGGAACTCAAAGTAGTTTCAATAAACAAGGAGCCCATCTACACAAATCACAAAAATAAAAATTTTGAGTTAATATTATTTCCACATTTTTTATACTGAAATCTATCACCTTTTTACACATTAGACTAATTGAAAGTTTTTTTTGTCTTAAAAATAGATACAGAAATTACAAATTTTGGCTTGATGTGCAATTATGATTAGTTTACTTTTTTATTGTTTTCACAAAATCAATATACTTGAACTTTGCAGTTTATTTTGCAAATGAGCTCCTCAAATGTGAACTTATGTCTAACAGCATTGTAATTATTGGATGTTTAATAATGCATTATGCAATACAAGATTTAAAAATGCATAATGCAATACAAGAACTTAATCCTTTTTTTATGTATATTTTACTAAATTGTAGCTAACAAAATGTAGTGATCTTCATGATTTATCATTATCTTTGATGCTACAAGTTGCTTATTTATTATCAAGTGGGAAATCAAATAACTGTGTGCAATTTTTTTTCAGTTTATTTTTAATTCAACAAATTTTTTATTACTCTTTTAATCTAAATACAGCATTAGTAACGATAGTCTAAGTTGTAAATACAACGTTAGTTACGATAGTCTAAGTTGTAAATACAACGTTAGTTATGATAGTCTAAGTTGTGAATACAACGTTAGTTACGATAGTCTAAGTTGTTAAAACAATGTTAGCAACGATAGTCTAAGTTGTTAAAACAACATCAGTATCAATAGCCTAAGTTATAAATACAGTGTTAGTAACAATAGTCTAAGTTAAAAATAGGATCCCAGTGAACTTTTTGTTAAAAGTCCCCAATAACAAATATCCAATAAAAAACATAGAAATTTTTTTATTAATTGCAAACTAAAAATTATTCATTTCATTAAATGCATGATTTGAATTATGCTTAAGGCTATTCTTTCCTCTTCAAAAAATTTTTTGCCTTACTTTTCCACAGCAAGTTTCATTGTACCACATGTATCTGCCATATCATCAACAAGGACAGCAATCTTGTTTGAAACATCACCAACAAGAACCATGCTTGAAACTTTATTGGCAACTTTTCTCTTTAAAAGTAAAATTCAAATTTTTATTTTGACAACAACAAAAACAAAACTATTAAAAATCTAAATCATTACATTACATTATGATTTTTTTCTATGGCACTACTAAATACAGTCCTGTAGTGCATAACCTGAAGTATTTGTTTGCATATTACCAAGGTTCAATCCTACCACATCCCTGATAGTACCATGCTAAAGTTGTTTCTCCAAGCAGAAGCCTTGTTTGAGTTTCACAGCTTTAGGGTTGAAAGATATTTTCAGCAACAATTAAAAAAAATCTATAGGATATATTCAATTGAATATATTAGTTCATCACCACTGCAGAACACCATAAAACAAAAAAGTGTCACTTCAACTTAAAATATCAATGATACAGAAAAGTGTCACTTTATATAAATATATAGTGTCTTAATTTATTACAATAATGACTTGTTTGATGTAATAAAAACATGCTACTATACAGTTAATACACTATATTATTAACTTTATAATGAAGATGCATTGATATAAACAGGGTGTTAGCCCAGGGTGTTAACCAGCATGATGGCACCGCGTATAACGCGGTATTCCCAATTGGTTTCAAATTTCCAAAGGTTCATAAGATCACAGTCAAAAAAATTAAAACTTAAATCAGTCTCAGATTTTAAGTGTCGCACTAGAGAAGTAAAAAACGCAATTAGAAGCATGACAAAAAAACAAATTAAATTGATTGATTTTTTTAATGTGTAAAAACTAGAATCTCGCTTTGCTCCCTATATGTCTTTGTTACTTATTTAAATTAAGGTAGCATATTGCAACAAAAGTTCTTTTAACAAACATTATTTGACAGAAATCAGCAAGCTAACCAAGTTTTTCAATTAAAAGTTATTAAGATTTTGAAAACTTTCATTTAATTTTCATTTAAAAGCTATTGATTTAAATAAGTTTTTAAACTGTTAAATTTATCTAATAATAAAAATTATAATATAAAATATGATGAACAATGAGACATTTGTAAAAAAGTTTTTTAAGTATTTTAAAATACTAAAGTATTTAAAGAGTTATATAGTCAAATATATTTCTTCAGAACTAATCGTTTGAACCTTTTAAAACTGTATTAAAAAAGCGATGTACACAATTAATCTAAATCAAATTTTCAATTAAATTTAATAATACATTCATTAAAACAGCAAACAATTGTCTTTAGTTCTTGTTTTCTCTCTATTTTACTGCAAACAATTTTAAAAGCATCTTATGTAAAAAAAAATCAATTTGACTTTTTTTTACCAAATAAGCCAGTTTACATGTCTAGAAAACGTTTTTAAATACATGTTTTTAAAGAGTTCTAAAAAAATTCATAAAAATTATTAGTTTCAAAAAGCATTTTACAAAGAGTTTCTCCAAATAATTTTTTTTAATTACGTTTTTCTCGAAATACGTAATAAGCCTATTAAGGCGTTTTGAAAAACGGCTACAGTACATCAAACAAAGAGGAGAAACAATTTAAAAATGAAAACATTAGAAGATTGCCCATAATGAAACAAGCTAAATAATTAGAATTAAACATTTATAAAGTAGAAAAATAATCCTGCTATAACTATAACACCCAGCAAAAAAAGAACATTTGTTTTGATTAAATTTTAATTATATCTAAAAAATGAGTATACTCACCTATTTTTTTTTTTTTTTTTAGCCGCACCTAAATTTCCAATTTCGCAAAAACGCTGTATGAAATTTTTTCCTGGGTAACACCCTGTAGCTAGCCCAATGGTACTGCATATACTGCAGAATTTCTAATAGGTTTAAAATTCCCAAAATTCAATTGCCGAATTTTTTTTTGAAGTAATAGGATAATTTCAATAAAAATTCTCATTATGACTAACACCCTGATAAAATAAACATTACAAAGTATTAACTTGTTTAAACAGTGCACACTGTGTAAAAATAATTATGAATTAAAAAAATAACCTTTTATAAATAATATTCATAAAATATTTTAAAAACCTCCTTGTGAATAAGAGCAAATTCCACATTTAATTGATCAGCAATGGAAGTGACACGCTTGGCACCTCCAGCATCTGGTGAAACTACCACACATTGTTGCCAGTTATTAATATGCTCACGAATGTATTTTAAAACAGCAGGCTCAGCAAAAAGATTATCAACAGGAATATCAAAGAAACCCTACAAAATATTTGTAATAATTAATTAGATTAAAATATTTATTTTGAACAGTATATTATTCTCACCTGTATTTGAGATGCATGCAAATCCATAGTTATGATATGATCTGCACCAGACACCGAAAGCATATTAGCGACCAACTTGGCAGATATAGGAGCTCTACTCTAAATTAAAAAAAAAGAGTTATAAACAGTAAAATAAAAACATTTTTAAAAATTGAGTGAAAAAAATTTAAATCATGTTCAATTTATTTTTAAAAATTAAAAAAAAATTGAAACTGAACTATATCACTGACAAGTTCTGAGTTCATTACTTTATCTTTTTTGTCTTGGCGTGCATAGGGAAAGCACGGTATTACTGCTGTAACTCTAGCAGCAGAAGCAATCTTGCAAGCATTTATCATTATTAGTAACTCCATTAAGTTATCATTAATTTCTCCACATCCACTTTGAATAATAAAAACATCCTCTCCACGTACAGATTCATTAATTTCTACACTAAAATATTAAAATTGATTAAAACCTCATTTTATTTTATAAAATATATTGATTTGTAATCAAAGATCTTATTCATCCAGTTTCACAAACTGGCGCTTAAAAAAACAAACAAGATTTAACAAAGTTTAAAAAATTATTAATTCAACAAATGCATGAAAGTTTTATGTTTAATAAAATTACATTTATTTAACTGTTTCAAAATTTGTGAAAAATATTACATGATCACTCAGTGTCAACTGATTTTTTCTGTACCACCCATTTCAATAAACATTTTAAATGAATGCATAAAGTGAACTTAGATTTGCTTTTTGCAGCTTTGATTAATTAGTTGTTGTGTAGTCAGAACACTGATTTTATACAAGTTTCTTGTTAAACAAACAGAATCTTACCATCAATAAAATAAAAATTTATTGAACTTGAACAAGTTTCCTAAAATAAAAATTTATTGAACTTGAACAAGTTTCCTAAAATAAAAATTTATTGAACTTGAACAAGTTTCCTAAAATAAAAATTTAAGACTGAAAAGCACTTTGAGCATTTTCAACAATTTTTAAATGATATAAGATCCCTACATCCAAGAATGCACACTTTACATTTAACTTAGTATTTAATATAAATTTTGGATACATAAAAAATGTATTTTCAACTATTTTAACAAGATCAGTAACTGGGTATGTAAATCAAAATCATTGGCTGGATTTATAATCAATGATTTGGTACTAGAAGGAGAGAGCAACAAGTAATTGTTCTTTCCCTCGTGACTTTTATTATTTTAAACTTTTTATTTACCAATTATGTGATCTAAATAAAAATATTTACTTCGTATTTTTAATTTTAACAGATTACTCCTTCTACACAACCCTTCCTTGGCAAAAGTTAATGCTATACTGACATATGTTAATGAGAACAGTATTTTAAAAAAATCCTTTTACTAATTTACTACATTATTAGCATAGATCATCCTAGTCATATTTTAAAAATCTGGAAAATTGATTGAATAAAATATCTGGAAAAAATCCGGAATTTGTTTCCCCTTATTTTCTTTTTAATTTCGCTTTTAGCTAAATTGGTTTAGTTTTTTTTGACACATTTTCATAATTTTTCTATGATTGATGAGTGAAAAAGCTTAAAAAACAAATATATTACAAAAATATATACCTCAACTTGCATGTATTAATGTTTTGAATATTCGGAAAAACTAATAGTTAATAAAAATATCTGGAATTTCATAAATATCCGGAAGAAGATAATCCCTGTATATATAACAATGCAGTTAGAAAAGCTTAGCGATGCAAGGTACAAAGATATTAAAAAATTTTTTAAGTAAAAGAACAAATAAAAAAAATTTTAAACTATAAAACTTAAAAAATTTAAAACTCTATCCTAGTTGATCACCACCACTCTATAGTGATCACCATCAAATCAATCGCATATACCAAATTTAATATCTTTACTGAACAATATATGTTTTTGCTATGTAGCTACAAATTGATAGTTTGCGCTGCTTTAAAGCAAAAACATATCAAATGAAGACAACATTAAAATTTTGATGTGAAAAATTTCAAAAATTTCAAAGTTTTCCCATCAAAAGTTTAATGCTGTATTTGTCAATAATTTCATTAAAACTTCAATTTTGTTAACTTGATTTTATCGATGAACTTTTTTTAGTAATTTTAAAATGGAGAGTACAGGTAATGTGCTGCATTACCCATACTCTTATAATGCAATGCTATTTCTTAATAACCACAGGCAGGCTTGGTTGGGAGGCGGGACCGATCGCTCTTGAACACTGACCACAGAAATATTATTTAGTTGCAAAAAACTGGCTAGGTTTTTTAGTTGTTTTGAGAACATTTAAGTTTATGTATGCCTGTAAAACAAAAAATTTTTGTTTTACTGACATACATGGAAACATACATAAACTTGAATGTTCTCAAAAATGTTGGTGTGGAAGAATAAAAAGAATATTCGCAAACACTAAAACCTGCCAAATTTACGAACAAACTAATTCTATTGGTTCAAAAAATATGCTGTCTGAGCAAAATAAAGTCCTAGAGTATTCTGTTGAAATGTTTTTAAAATTGTATTATTATTCAAGGATTATTAAGTTAAGAGATTTCCAGCATAAATTGTTTTAAGAATATATTATCAAATGAACTATTACATTGATACTATGGCTAATTTTTGGAGCTATTACTTTGCTATGCTTTTTACGAACTATTACTTTAATACTATGGCTCATTCATATCATTCATATAATATGGAGATCTGTAAAGCCGTAAATCTTTAAAACTTGTATTATTTGTTTACAAAAATAAATGTTTTATAACATATATTTTTAAATTGTCAAAATTTTGAAAGTTTATTATAAATTATAGATTTTATTATTATATTCTTATTTTTTGATTAAAAAGTATGTATTTTTTATGCAAATGTAATTTTGTGAATCTGTTTTTTATTCTAATGTAATCTTTTAAAACAATTTTTACGATTTGATTTAAAAACAAAGACTTTCAACAATAATTGCATTTTCAATAAACTTATTAATAATCATCAAAGTTAATAAAACTAATTATGAAATAAACATACAAAAGATTCTGGTTACTAAACACAAACATGCATACAAAGTAACTTGTTGATGAACAAGCACCACGCCTGAGGTCACAATAGAACACAAATATATATATATATATATATATATATATATATATATATATATATATATATATATATATATATATATATATATATATATATATATATATTTATTAAACATCTTCGCTTCCAACAAGGCTGCAAGCAACCACTAACTAGACTTGGAAGTTACTGGAAGAGAAAAGATGAAGATTTTAGAGCAAGATAACGATTAACAGATAACTTAAAAGATTGCAAATTATATGAATCAGGAAAGCAAGATCAAGGATGCGAATTTGAAAAAACTGATGTTCGAGGAAAAAAACTAGACGAATAAGAGTTTTTGGAACACTTAGAAATAGTCACAGAAAAAAGATGAGAATTAATTGAATGGTGAGTAACACGAGAATGAATTTAAGTAGATGGCACAAGAGACACTAGCTCTTTAGAGCAGTGCCAAGCTCAATAAAGAGATGCAACTTTAGCAGATTCTAATTTTGCAATGGATTCAATATATGGTTTCCAAAAAAGATCAGAAGTAAGAATTAATCCTAGGAGATAACAGGTAGATGACTCATCGAGTACATTACCGTTCATAAATATAGGAAGGTCTAAATTATTGCGTTAACGACTTGCTAACAAAAATTGAATTTTATCTGAATTAAAGTTCACCAGCCACTGCGAGACCCATGCTGTAGCAGAAGCGGATCTTTTTCAAGCTCAGATGCCCCCTCTAAGCAACCAGAGAGTGTTGGTTTCTTATCATGACAAGAATAAATGGTAGTATCACCAGCGAACAATACCACTTTAGATATCTGGAAGATTGTTAATGAAAATTAAAGAGTATAGGGCCAAGGATTGAACCTTGACGAACTGCTGAGGTTACAGAATAAGAAGAGTGGATTTGAAAGATTCAATAATCTTAAAGATATTGCCAAATACACAGTAAGAAGAAAGCTTATGATTCAAAAAGAAAATTTGAATGTTTTGTGAAGATTTAAAAACCTTGCTTATGATAGGAAGAAGACTAATGAGACGGTAGTTAGACGATTTATATCGCTCTCCAAAATTTTTGAAAATAGGGATAACAGGTGCTGCTTTCCAGCAGGCTGGTAAACAAGACTCTGATAAGCACTTGTTAAATAGTTTTAAAAGTATAGATGACTCTTCTACAGCTCGTGGCCCGGACAACATACAAAGGTATGTTGTCCGGGCCACAAGCTGTAGAAAAGTCTAAGCAGGAAATCACTTTAGACACAGAAGATGGAGTGATACAAATGTCAAGCAATGGATCAACCTGTTTGATGGCTATATCAGGTAGAAAGCAACTAGTGGAATCAAGAGATGATATTGATGAAAAGTAATTAGCAAACAATTCAGCTTTGTCTTTAGATGAAGTGACAAAGTCTGAACCATACAAGAGAGGTGGAATTACGGATTTGCCCTTATTGATACTATTAAAGATTTTACAGAAGTGACAAGAACCTATATTGATGAAACACAAGATTACATGACCTGATAATAGCGGGCTTTGGCTTTAGACAAAACCTTTTTATAATGGTTTCTAGCGGTAATAAACAGACGTCTGTTTTCTGGAGAATTGTTTTGCTGACAGATATGGAAGTAATGGTTTCGATTGGCAATTTCAGCAGCACGATGCAAGGAAAACCATGGAGAAGAGTGAGACTTGACCTGGAATTGTCAGGAGGGAATAAAAGAATCCATATACCCTGAATCCACAAAGTTATGTAAGAAGCATATTTGTCAACAGGAAGACAAAAGATTTCTACCCAAGGGCCATCACAAAGAAATTCATGGAAAGAGTCTCAGCCAGCCTTAAGGTAGTTGTAAGAGGTACATAGATTTTGATGATGATGAAGAATGAGATGATAGTTTTAGAGAGATCAAACTGTGATCAGAATGAATTTGGAGAAACTGAGCAACGACTAGGAGCAGAAACAAGACATAAGTCGAGTAGAGAAGGTAAATGATTCAGGTTGTCTGGAAAGAGAGTTGGAAAGTTGACAATTTGAGTTAAGGATTAAGAAAGGCCAAAGTTGTGGGCTTTAATGCCAGCAAAGTCACTGACACTAGAGCCAAGCCATTCAGTTTGATAAGCATTAAAGTCACCGATAACAACAATATTGGCTGATGGATAAAGAGAGATAGCTTGGTCAATATGATCAGAAATAACATCAAGAAGAGTGATGTCTTGAGATAAAGGAGAACAAAGAGAAAGGTGATAGAGTGAAGTGGTGCTAAACAAGAGCACATAAAAGACTAGTCTGTGGATTCAAATCTAGATTCCCGACAAATTGGTGAATTCTTACAAATGTAAATGCCTAGGCCAAGTAAGTGACTATTGG